GGCCACTTGCTCCGTTCTTCTCGCACAACCACGCAAAGGACTGAAGAGTGCTAGGGGTTGTAAAAAATTACTTGGAAGCAAAGTATGGGAGCCATTACCGGCAGACTCAGCTGCGCTGGTCATTGCCGTCTCCCTGGATGGGAAGACCACCATTATGTCCACTTGGCCATTTGAAACAAAGGCTTTGGAGCACTATGGGGCGGTACACAAATGTTAGCAAGCAGCCTGTGATATGAACTGTCACAAAGGCGCACTTGAACATGAATTCTGAGAGTATACAATGTCGCAGTTAGTCACATTCGAGACAAAAGGTCATCAGAGTCAGACAAACAAAGAAGAAAATCTCAAGAATTGGAACGGTGGAACAGGCGCAGAAGAGGCCAACAGCATCCCTCAGGAAGAGATATACAACAAGCACCGAAAAACTAGTTCCAAATCACATTGATTCACAGAAATGTTTTTATTCTGAACACTTGGTTTGTATAGTCTAACTCCTGTTTTCACGAATCTCGACTCAGTTTGCATTGTTGTTGATTGCGGGATCCCAGAATGAAAATGCATATTCTCCTTTTAATATGCAGTGAGTAGTAAGTCTACCGGATGAATTTCAAATAGCACCAAATGGTTGTTACCTATACTTGAGTTGATCTCCTTAGATTCTGTATATGTCAGTATCGCAGTTAAGCATTACTTCACGCTTTTCCTAACCGGATGGAAACCTATTCATTCAGCGCTTGTTCTAAACATCTTTCAGGAGCTAAACAATCAGGTCAGCCCTTGGACCTCTGCTAAATGTGCAACCTACCTTCATCTGCATGGTACTAAAAGGCAGTCCATGTCTATTTCCTGGGAAGTGATGAAATTCAGACCGAAAGGCCATGACTGACTAGGTCTTATAGTGACTCTTCCTCCACATTAATCTATTACGAACACTAAGCATGTAGTTCTCCACCTGAAACGGCAGTCGCGATTTCCTGACATCGAAGATCTCAGTAAAAGTACATCAGTCTGGGTGTGTTGGATAATGCACATGGGTTTGGTGTAATAGAATTACAGTATCGTCGCCACCAGTGTACAAATGGTATAACTTCTCATTTAAATCAAGAAAGGACAAAGTGAGATGTGTGCATTGGAGTAAATAAAGGACTCATCGAGTTTTGAGTCGGTGGCAACCGATTTCTATGTTATCCCGAGGTCAATTTCTGATGAAGCGGTCGAGGGGCACTTTAGGGATCATTCCTTTAAGCAGATGGTGCAATATCCTACCAGTGATCACCACAAAAATTTAACGTTATCATTTTTGCGTAGTCTCTGGTGCAAACCTGATGACATTTGGTTTAAATCCTCTGCCATTTCGGGAATTGTAGAAGGCACATATATCCTTCTTTCAAAGAGCAGCGAAGAAAATGCATGAACACCGATCGTTAGTGAAATTAATGCAGTCAGCTCTTCTTGCACCCACAAAATATTCACTGTTCCTCACACTAAGGACTACTCCTGAGATCTGGTTACTTCTGGAAAACAGAGCATCAATTCGATGGGTTTACCAGATTTCTAGCATTGTATGACATCTAAATTGCTCTTCAGTCATCTGGTTAATTTTGTTGGAAACGTCATAATTTTCGCTCTTCACATCATTCCTTCTTTATTTGATGTAGTCGGAACGGCGGTCAAGTTTCCTTACAGAATGAACCTGGCCTTGACTGTTGATGAGTTTTTAGGTGTTTTCCACTCTTGGGTAATTGTGATGTTTGATATGGCCCGCATCATAAATGGCCTCAAAAAGTGTCATAAGCAAGAGCTTACGACACAGATGATCAAGCATGTTTGGCTAGCAGCTAATCATACCACATTTAGATTTGCGTGGTATGATTAGGTTCAGAGGAGCTCCAGACGATACCGTCGGTAGTTGCTCCACGTTGGTCTTGCACTGTTCCATGACGTATGCTGAACTGAACTAAGCTCAACTAAATCCAACTCACCTCATAAGATAATCACTGAGAAACAGAGCTACTCAGCTGGATTGCTAGCCAAACAATACAACTTTCATGAAGCGACCGAGTATTAACTACATAAAAGCTTTCTTGGCGTTTGCCCACGAATTGGATTAGCAACAGTTGAGTTGACCCTCTTCCACTAAATTAAACCTCCTGATTTTCTGTATTATGGACAAGAAATGGAACCAGTCCTTTATTTAGTTAACTGTTAGGCTAGGTAGGCAAATCGGAAGTGTGCGTAGGAGATAAACAACAGGTGAACCATAGTCTAGGGTTCCCAACACCTAGATTTGAATCGGATAAAATGCTAAGTACCGTTTGCCCCTTTCATTTTTTTTTAAAAGCGGCCTCTTTTACAGATTAGTATAGCTGTGGTTGTCAGAAATTATAGTCCCATTTGTTCACGAATCCGATGGCAAAGCTCATGGCATCAGAACCTTATGAATCCTGAGGGAATGGAGGGGAGGTTACTCTAACTGAGTACGAACACTGTCATTCGTTTCCTGAGAAGTTACCATTTTTGACTCATCAAAGGCTTAAAATGAAGCTCCAATAGATTGGTTTCTCTTTGGTCTATGAAATGAGTAGTCGATAATGTGTCACTTCAATCCGCCTTGGAGTAAAGGTGATACGGCTTTCAGACAGAAAACTGGAGGATTATCGGACCCTCTGATGTGACCCAAAATCCTGGCAACGCATAGCGGAAGTCAAAGCACGATCCGTAGCGTCATAAGATGTCTTCCTCCATATCAATACACGGGTCAGAAACGTGAACGCTGCGCTCCGAGGATATCAAAAGTCTTTCAGTGTTTGACCATCGATGTCTCTGGAGCATTGCTCGAGTCTGGTGGGAACATCAGACCAGTATTGCTAAAGTATGTCGAATGGTTTCTGGAAGAGATAACTCACCCACGATAGATGAACTGATCACATTGCATAGGTTGTGACGGCTGGGCCACTTGCTCCGTTCTTCTCGCACAACCACGCAAAGGACTGAAGAGTGCTAGGGGTTGTAAAAAATTACTTGGAAGCAAAGTATGGGAGCCATTACCGGCAGACTCAGCTGCGCTGGTCATTGCCGTCTCCCTGGATGGGAAGACCAAGGACACACACATCAATGGTTAGAGATATTGTCAGAAATGACACGGTCGCACCCTCAATGGCGCTCGTGCATTCAAGCTATTGCCTTTGATGCACAGCTTCCTTCCCAATATCCCCATTTAAAAGTCCACTGACAATCCTGTATTTACGCATCAATTATATCAGCTCCCGCCTCCATTGAGTAGCTACCTACCCCACCTCCCCAAATCATCGGTGAACGAAACCGTGTCAACTATAGCTACTGTACGAAAGTACGCGGTTATTACAGTTGATAATGGCGGTAACTGCTGTGAATGCACAAAGACCGTGAAGTGAGTCTCTTTGCTGGGATGCATTTCCAAATCAAGACATTCCCGTAAAACAAGCAGACAGGAAGACTGTGCTCCTCCTTTGGTGGTTGTATAAATTTCCTGGAGAAGCCTTGAGTGTTTCTTCAATCACCAGATGCACGCAGTCGTTCCGACTTGTTTGCAATATGATTTAACTGGAGTGCAGTCAAGACGGCTAAATACCGATCTCTTCGCTTGGTAGTCTGCCATCACATCAGCTTTCATGTGCTATTGCTGCATACTATCTCCCTGTTTTATTATTGTTAAGGTATTACATGGATAACCATGACGGTGATTACTCAATGTTCTGGCAGCTTACGGGCAAATGATGCAAGGAAGACTGTGGAGCGTAGATGAATCAGAGTGTAAGATATTCGATTCGAATTCATGCCTGGTAGCGCCAGCTCTAAGTTATTGTTTGCATGTTCACTCCATGCATTTGCAAGTATTGCCATATATTGCCACTTATTTATCCAAGAAAACCTCATCATACCTCTAATCTAACAAAACCCATTAACTCCAAGTTTGACCCTCAAATTCACATCTGAACTCATTAGCTGTTGTTTGGAACCGATCTATGTTGCCATCTGGGGTTTCGATTATGCGTAATCCTACACCAGACGACAGGTCCGGAATTCAAAAAGGTTGCCCTCAGGAAAGATTCCTGTCCTAGTCTATAGAACCGAAACGTTTGATCAGGTCTACGCTAAACGGACTTAGTAGTAGGTATGAACTAACCACGAACACCGACTAACTTTGGGATTCAGACTCCTCTCCAATGGCACAAATGAACTAGTAATGACTCCACCTGAAATTCCAAATGCCTTGTCAGATGATTTGTTTTCCTATGATGATCACGGAGCAATCTGACTAGAGGCTTGGCAGTTATTGCCAACCTTTTTTTACAGACCAAACAGTCTGAGCACCTAAGTTCAACTCATCTCTATACAGAGGCTCACCATTCCCAAATAAACGGCATATTTTCTTGATTTCAATTAGCATGGGTTATCCCTATCGTTACCTACAGAAACTATTTGCCTGTGAATTGCCACGCCGAATAATCTTGCTAAATAACGAAGGTCAACGGATCTAGATGAACTTTAACCATTTTTTAAACTGCAGGAACGGTCTAAACGGTATCCTTCTACCGTTGATACATAGATACTTGGTAAACCAAAGAGATGTCTGGTAGGGATTTGTAAACCAACTTATTTGAACGAACTAGCACTTAACGAGGGTTACTTTTTACGTAATAACTCAGGAACCATACAGATATTTTGCTTCATGAGGGAAATTATATGCTTGAGGACTAGCGACAAGTTGGACAGCAGAGTGGCTAAATGGGAATCAATTAATAGAAACAGCGTTTTACTATTAGCTACCACTCATGGGTTAGTTAGTTGTTGATTTCTCGTGAAAGATGACCTCGTCGAACCTCGACTGAATGCACGACCACATGAAAACTGCTGTAAATCATGTGATCTAGCTTAATATCTGATCAATACCTCGCATTGATCTTCGGGACTTTGAAGAATTGTGCACTCACTCGTTATCCGGCCTATCCGACTTTAGCATGCCGGCGAAAAAGAAACCGTCCCGGGAACGAAAGTCGAATTTAAAATCCAGACGTGCACCTGGCCCTTACGCGCTCTTTGTGAGCTCAATGCGGAAAAATTATAGTGGGTCATTCACTCAGTTTTCCAAATGTTGCGCAGCAACATGGCGTCAGTTGTCTGAGTCGGAGAAAGAGAAATTCCGTAAAAAGGCCAAGAAGCAACAGAAGAAACCGGGTCGTAAACATGAACCGAAAAGTTTGGCGTTCCTTCGGTTTGTGAGCCGTACGTATGATTGCCTTCGGCGCAAACATCCTGAGTGGCCATCAAAGAAAATTCGAGAACAGTTAATGAAAAACTATCAGAAAATAAAGTGTAAATGTGTTAAAAAGAAGTGATCAAACACTGCTGTGTAAGTTTCTGAGATGAAGTGCCGAGTTTTGCTTCTTCTCCCTTCCAGTATTAGGCAATGAAGACAGACTGTAAATTTCATACAGTAACTATGGTGTACAAATCATAGAAATAAACCATGAACTACCCAGTTCATCTTCTCACTTCCCAGGGAGATGGACTACTTATCATTTGTAGGCTTTTGAGTACGTACAGTGAGACGGCCATCCATTTTTTGTTTTTGTAAAATATAACTGTTCAGATTAAAGTTTTAGGATAAACTAGTGATCGAAGTAATGCCTTTCGAGGTACCCCCTGTGTGTAAGTGTAGAGTGTTATAAAGTAGGTTGACGTCATCTTATGGTACACGATTCAAGACAGACCTCCATTCAAAGTATTTCCTTCGTTCCCAAGCAATTTAAGGATTCTGGCTAATTTGAATTCAGTTGGAATTCAGTTGCAGTAGATTGTCAGTTTTGCAGTCCAAAGCAGAAAAATTCAGACAATATTGACTTCAGTCGCAGCAGCTGCAGATCATGGTGTGACCGGCCTTTTCTTCAGAAGCTGTTTTGTTGCGAGGCAGAAAATCCGCACATATTGCCATTCGCCTGATTCATTTGCTTCTGGAATGCACTGTAGCCCTCGTCTTCAAAGACGTAGCTGGATCAGATTAGAATAATTAACCTGCTATAACCCTACATTTGAAAGGTGTTCTATTCAAATGTTTGTTTCAACTCGAAGTTAAGTGTTGGTACAATAAAGGTAAAACGACGAAGGAAGGTCAAACTCGATTGCGTATTCACTCAGAATTAAGGATGTGCACATAAAGCTTTGAAACTAATAAAACTTAGGTAGGTATTCAGCCAAATCCGTACAAATACAGAGAAATTGTTCTGGGATTCGAATAGTATAATATATTAAGTTTAGCAAGGGCCTGTCGTAAACATATTAGTTCTGAAGGTTTATTCAGAACAATCGTGTTAAACTCTGCAAAAAATACACCTACATATAATATAACACATAATATATACGTGAACGTTGATGAATATGAAGTCAAACACGAATTGTTGTGCTACACATCAAGGCACTGATACCATTTGTGATCAAAAATATCGACGAAGATACAAACTGCGTGCAAACAAACTGAAGTGTCAGCATTATTTTCCATAAAAATCGCTCAATATAGAACAGATGTAAGAAAGCCTGAGTCGCGATGCGAAAATCTTACGTTCTGAGTCTGAGGAGCAAAATCGAACCCAAAAACGGAAGGTAAAACCGAGCCGTGCCACGGGCTTTGCTGAGTAGAATGTTGTAACGCGGGGAGGCCGATTGGGACCAGTAAGGTTATGGATGCTCAAGTTTCATTAGGGTGGTAGCAAGTATCCCATTGATACATGTTGGTTGTTTTGTGACGGGGAACTAGGCACTTTACTTGGTTTGCGACTCGTAAGGCTTTCAAATAAATCATGGTTGTACGGCGGTGAAGCATGGGCGTTGAAGACTAATGTCATGCTGTCGATGACAACCATGATGACGATTATGATGATGATGATGACGATGATGATGAGGAGGAGGAGGAGGGAGAGGAGGAGGATGGGTAAAACCGGTTCGTGCACTTCATCATTTCTGTCTTCTACACGTTTGACAAAATGTAACATTTTTGGTCATTTGTTGATTAGTTAATTGGCTGTTTATAATCGCACTTAGACACGACATTTCCACGACAAAACAATGGGACAAGCTCTGTTAACACTTGGATTAGAGAAGCTGTAGTTATCTGGATTTTCAATGCCCTGAAAAAAGTGAATTCCACATTCTAGGTTTTTTGGCCTTCTATAATAACTGCCATGATGTCCACGGAACGTGGACTGGAATAAGTCATTTAACTGACATCACTGAGTTATTTTTCACCATCACTATCCAGTTTTTATCGTAGGCTAGATCTGTCACTCTAGCACCTATTTCCACTCTTTATCGTAGGTTTTTGTAAAACTGATGGTGTTGGTTGTAAAGCAGTGAGTTATCAGTGTTCCCTTTTGGTATTTCCACCGATTGTGACAGTGAGGATGATGGTGGTGACAGGGGAAGTGCTGGTCGCTCCGTAGCTGGCTGGCAAACAGCTACAGTTGGTGGGTGGACCACAAACGTAAAGATGACATGATAGTGGTCAGGTTCGTGGTTTTAGACAGTTTATAAACAGTCGAAATTTGCGTCCTTATTTGAGAAAAACCCGCATGATGCTTTAGAAATCTGATCACCTTATGAAAAATGGGTCGGTTAGGCAGTCGAATATCGCCACCTCCCTGGATGGGGACCACGGGACTCATATCACCAGTAGTTAATTACACCGGCGGAAAAAGCGCACTTGAGCAATCAGTGGCGCTCCTGAATCATAGCCATTGCCTTCACTACGTAGCTACCCCAACAAACTTCACATGCTCTCGCCTCCAAGGCTTGGTTGTATATTCCACTTCTCCGTTTTCCGGTAATCGAATCTGTAGCAGCTGGAACCATTATGCCTAGGGAACACGGTTTATAGCTGATCGATCCTGAATGATGATCAGGCTGCCGGAAGTACGCCTGTTGAGCGTTCATAGGCTCGTGCGTATGCCTGAGGGCCTGATTATGCTCACCGCTTTGTTGGATTTTATTAAACTATATTGGATTTCCTGCTTAAAATTTGATCTGTGAATCCGTTATTATTAACATACACAGATAGACAGATAGATAGATACATAGTTTAACTGGTTGCCTGATCTGTTGATGGATTGATAGATAGAATGCTCCATTGACTGACTGATTGACTGACGGACTGGTTGATCGATCGGTCGATTGATTGATTATTGATTGATTGATTGATTGATTGATTGATTGATTGATTGATTGATTGATTGATTGATTGATTGATTGATTGATTGATTGATTGATTGATTGATTGTGATTGATTGATTGATTGATTGATTGGGGGTACTGCAATCAGACTACTGTCAGTATCACTGGCCAGGTAAAGTGAACTGTCTAAATCCGCGCTCTGGCCAGAACTCACATTAGATTCCGTTGCGATGACTTATTTTTCGCACATGGTTAAGAAAAAGCGTATCGACTGTTAAGTGTTACTTCAGTTAGCATAGCAGCTAAAGCTGCCACCTTGACGTGGTGGTCGGGCTTGAGTGCTGCAGCGATCCCGCGGGCTACACTGGCTGGAACTTCGTTCCACAAGGTGCAACCATGCCAGGAAGGCCAAAGGGGAACAGCCAGACCAAGAGCAGCGAGACGCCGTACTACGAGTAATCGTGCTAAGAGGCGGTCCGGGGGTAAATCGTACTGTTCTCTGCAACAGGAGTGTGAAGGCAGTAAGGTGTTTCCCCCAGGCGACCAGTATGTCCATATTTATGGAAGCAGCGATGCTGCCTTCCCCCGAGGAAGGACGGGTTAGAAAAGGTCGGCCCCAAAAATCGCACACTGCTATCGCCCAACGGTTGACCGTGACAGCCGGCGCATTATCCAATACGGTCGAAATACTTTTAAAACCAAAGAGCCCAGTGCTGCTCAAAAGGCGCCTGCTGTGCGCAGCTGCATCAGGAATGAGACAGTAATGCCTTATTCCCTGCGCCCTCGGGTTAGGCCAACCCCCTTCAGCCGAGCAGGTCAGATTGTGGAGTCGTCGGCTGCGGGCAGGGTCCCCAAAGAAAACCCTACATTCTCCCACTGCCTCGTGGGTCAGGCTTTTGAGCCAGAGGCTAGGGTCGGGGTCCCCGAACAAAACCCTACGTCATCCCACTGCCTTGTGGGTCAAACCTTTGAGTCAAAGGCTCAAGGTGGGGTACCTCAACCAAACCCCCTTCCTCGGCCTGGGCAACCGGAAAGTGTCACTTGCCCGCGCAGTTCAGCGTCCACCGATGTCCGTCCTCAACCCCTTCCAAGTCGCTGGGCCATTTGATGTCAGTCATGTGACCGAAGGTCCTTATGCTCCTCGCTGCCTACAAATATAAAGAAAATAACACCTTTCTAAATCCACGAGATCCTTTCTAAATAGGAGCTTTTAACGTCCGTACTCTATGTCAAATTGGCAAACAGGCAATGCATGCTGAAACCTTGTACTCCCTTAAAATCGATGTATGCTGTGTCTCCGAA